GCGACTTCTGGCACTATGCTTGGTGGAGAGTGTCACTCTTTGGTATTCTGAACTTGCCAACTATCTGTGGGCAAGCAGTTACCCAAGGGGATGGCTACTCACGCTAAGCGTAAATTCTTCTCCGACCTGAAGTACTATTTCTAGGAGTATCCATAGCTCTTCAGGACCGGAGCAGATGGCGTGACTCGGCGGTGTGTGACGGAACACGAGATGTGAGCCATCCTGTCTCACTATCACGAAGGACCAACTGGCGGTCATCACAGAGGGAACCGCTTGGCGCGGAAGGTGCTCCAGTCGGACTTCTATTGGCCCACAGTCTTCAAGGATGTTGATGCCTTCGCACGCCAGTGCGATCGAGTGTCAACGGTCAGGTAACATCTATGTCCGCGATGAGATGCCCCAGAAGTCATTTGTGATTTGTGACATTTTCGATGTTTGGGGCATTGACTTCATGGGTCCTTTTCGTCTTTCGTTCGATAATCTTTATATCTTGGTTGCTGTGGACTACGTCTCGAGGTGGGCAGAAGCCCAAGCCATGCCCACCAATGATGCAAGATGCGTCTACTCATTTCTGAAGTAGCTTTTCTATCGCTATGATGTGAGGCACAAGGTGCCAGTGGCTTACCATCCCCAGACAAATGGTCAAGCCGAGCTAATTAACCGGGAGCTAAAATGAAAGATGGTGGATCAATCCCGTAAAGATTGGCCCACCAAGCTCGATGATGCTCTATGGGCATATAGGACGGCCTACAAGACATCGATTGGTACCTCTCCCTATCGGCTTGTCTATTGAAAGGCCCGCCACTTGCCTGTTAAGCTAGAGCACAAGGCCTTCTGGGCCCTTAACCTGCTAAACCTTGATTTGAGTCTTGCAGGTACCGAGCGAAAGATGAAGCTGGTGGAGTTGGAGGAGTGGCGTTATCATGCCTATGAGAACACCAGGCTGTATAAGGAGCGAACCAAGTGTCTCCAAGACTCCCGACTTAAAGGCCCAAAAGAGTTACAGGTGGGCGATCGCGTTCTCCTATACAAATCCCGCCCACGACTCTTTCCGGGAAAGCTTCGCTTTCAGTGGTTTGGACCATTCACGGTCACCTATGTGTTTCTCTATGGCACCATAGAAATCGCCAATCCGCAGACTGAGCCCTTCAAGTTGAATGGGTATCACCTCAAACTGTACTTGGGAGGCGATGCTGAACGTGCGGAGTTGGTCGTTGAACTCGCGGACCCTTAGTTCCTCTGGTTGCATCTAGCTAAAGACGTAAAAGAAAGCTCTTGTGAGAAGGCAACCCCACCTCAGTTTGCACTTATTTCCTTCCTTTTTCTTTCGTGTTCGCGTCGTCTGTGTCCGTTCTGTATCTTGTGTGTCGCGTCCCGAGCCTGTTGATTGTCTCTGCTATCGTTGTTTTCGTCCATAGTTGGCTCGGGTGTTTTTGGTCGTTTTTTGGCTAAGGTTGGTGAAATCCACGGTCGTGGACCTCATATCCCCGACCATGGATTTTACTCTCCCGACCGTGCTTTTCCCTTGATCAAAATCCACGGTCCAAACGTCGAATCCACAACCGTGGATTTTGGTTCTGGGAGACAGGGGAAATTTTCGCAAATCTACGGTCCAAATGTTAAATCCACGACTGTGGATTTTGGTTCTGTGCAACCGGGGAAATTCTCAAAATCCACGGTCTGACCCCCAAAATCCACGACCGTGGATTTCCCCATATAAATGCGAAATTTGGGCAACCACTTCATTTTTCCCCCGTCCCTTCCCTCAGTCGCTCTCGCCTCTCTCCTCTCTGTCCGCCGAGAGCACCACGCCGACGGCAAATTGCAGATCCCGTCATCATTCGACCTCAGATTAAAAATCTGACTTCGGAGCCAACCCTCCCGCGTCGGGGTGCTCGTGTTGTGTGATTTTGGGGCCGATCGTCGTCGGAAAATTTTTCGTTGACTTTCCGACGACGCCCAGACTTGGTTTCTGCTCGCCATTGCGTGTCCTGTGCTTCTTCTAGCCGTCTACTTGCGTCTATAGGTTGGTATCCACTTTTTTTATTTTCTACTTACTGGAGAATTGACGGCTAGGTAGAGAACAAGATTTCTGAGTTGCTTGCTGATTGTGTGGGAACCCAATGCAATTACTAGGTTTCTAGTCGTGCCATGAACTATATTGTGACCTGATCATGTTGGGTCAATGTGCCTCGTTGCCTTTATCTGGCCCTTCTGCAACCGGGCCTGTTTCCGTGTTTGTGCATTTAAGTGTGGGGGAGAAACACTTCTCTCCTATACTCTTTTCCTTAACACGGGTTGCATGGTTTCACTTTTGGCATCTCTATTTTTGTTGGATCGTGTCCCTTCGGCATGCCTACCCTTAGGGTCTCTGTCATACCCACAATTATGACGCGTAGTTCGATGTGGTTTGGGATGGAACCATCAAGGAACATTGGTATCTCAACAATGCCATCCTCTGGGATCTTTACTGCGGGGGTGACATCTAGCATTCCATTGCCAATCGCTAGTGGCAGCGACTCCTCAGCCTGTCTGCTTCCACTTACACCGAGCTGGTGTGGGAGTTCTTTCCACCTTCCGCATGGCAGAGCGGCCCAACCGTGCTGATGGCATCATGTTCCGACTGGGGAATGAAGACCGGGAGAGGAGTGTTGACCAGTTCGGCGAGGCCTTAGACCTGAGTTTCCGTCCTCTGAGCTACCATGTCTTTGAGCGACCGACCCCGCAGGGAGTGGATCTCGTCGACTTCTACACCACTATCTGTTTCCCTGACTACTTGAAGGTGAGCTTCTATCCCGGGTAGACCAGTTCCACCACTTTGCTGCCATAATGGAGGATCATCCACCTTATCCTTACCCGCTCGGTCTTTCCCTGTGCCACCTCCCCCCACAAGATCACCAAGAGGGTGCTGGCTTACATGTACTCAATGACTAAGGTAGACGACAGCCTGAATTTGGGTTCCATGGTGGCGAAGACTTTTGCCAAGTCGGCCCGGCACCGTCGACACCTGTTCTATGGAGCCCTGATCACTATCCTCGACCATAAGCTGGGAATAAGCCTTAACGGTCTCACTGACATCTCCTCTATAGTTGGCTCTTTCTACCTTACTCGGGATGTCAACTTCAACCAGGGCCTGCTAATGACGGCTGGCGGATATGAGTGGGTCGAGGGACTCACACTTCCTCCTGCCGAGAGTGACGAGGACGAGGCCGATGATACTTCTTTCGAGGATGAGCCCATCCACGAGGAGCCTCTCTCCCCATTGGAGGAACTGCCACCACGATGGATATTGGAGCGAGGCGAGTCCTCCTCCGGTCCTTATGTTCCGTCGATGGACTTTTTCACCTCCCAGTTCCAACAACTGGTACTCCAAAACTAGTAGATCATGTCCTCCCAATAGCACTTTCAGGAGCAGTGCTGGGCTCATCAGGTGCAGTACTCTGGCCGTCAGGCCAACTGGATTACCGCCTCGACCGCCTTGAGGGCTAGTAGGCCGTGATCCGTGATCAGATTGAGCATGAGCAAGGCCGCAACCGCTGACTGATGAGGTATGAGGAGCATCTCCTCCAGTATTGTGACCCGGAGCATCACTGGACCACCCTGTGGGTGCCTTCACCTGCGCCTCCCCCCCCCCCCCCCCCCCCCGCGGACGATCAAAGAAGTAGTCGTCCCTTCATCGTTCAGTTGGCATTCACGATCCAAGAAATGGTCGTCCCCTCTTCCGGTTCATTATTGAGCACATATCAACCATTCATCGCTTTTCAATTTGGGAATTCACGATGTTCATGCTCCAGCTTGAGGGGGAGAATAGGAGGCCAACATACGTCGGTCGACTACCTCAGTCATCAGGCCGACCCCGATGTACCAGGTGTGTTCAAGTTCAAGAGACGTAGTCAATCGTCTCCATCATCAGGTTGTTCAGAGAGAGAGTCAGTCGTCTCCCATCAACCTCGTCTCTTGAACTTGAACACACCTGGTACATCGGGGGTCGACCTGATGACTGAGGTAGTCGACCGACGTATGTTGACCTCCTATTTTCCCCCTCAAGCTGGAGCATGAACATCATGAATGCATAGATTGAAAAGCGATGAATGGTTGATATGTGCTCAGTAATGAACCGGAAGAGGGGACGACCATTTCTTGGATCGTGAATGCCAACTGGACGATGAAGGGACGACTACTTCTTTGATTGTACTACCTTTTGAACGCAAGGGGATGACCATTTTATGTATCGTGGATGCCTCACCGAAGCTTGACTACCTTTGCTGGCGAAAGCCTTCAAATAAGTTTAGTGACCCAAAATCTAATTGTAGAGCCCATAAAAACTCTTACCAAATCAGACGTGGGAGCCCAAAAGGGCCATTTTCGGCTATGCTTTCCGCCGGCCCAATAATAATAGGGGGAAACCCTAAAATGGGTTAGCAATGCAGCGCCGCCAGCTTGAGATGGCGGAACGACAGGAGACGAAAGGCAAAAGACGAGGAAGCATATCGATTGCGGATGAAATGAGACTGGTGATGGCGGGGGCTCGGATTTGAGCAGTCTCGCCTAAAGCCAACAATGATGATTGAGACGAACAAAATGGTGAATCGATCTCAACGAAGCCTCTGGTTTATGCGTGACATGGGCTCATTGGTACAATCCAATACGTGACATGGGTCTTGGCTTTTAATTTGTGGGATGGGTTGGGGGCTTTGAGCATCCGGTTTATGCGAATTTTTATTTTTTACTAGCTTGGATTGGATGGATGATAATTCGGTTTTCGATTGTAATCGTTTGATTAAAAAAGTCCATTTTTCAATTTGACTGAAAAGGCGCGACCTAAGTCGTCCTAATTTTGGGACATCTATGATCTATGTAAAAAAAAAAAAAAACAAAAACAAAAAAACATCGGGCCTAGTCTGATTGATCGAGTTGGATCCATGAATTGGGTAAAACCTATTTCGTAAATAATCGGCCAACCACCCGCTTCCCAACCCCAAAAACCCACTATCCAGCTTCGGCAACTAAAAACCCTTTTCTTCCAAGTGAGAGCTGCTATTCCTCGGCTTCATTCTCCTGACTACCTCTTCACCAGCTCGTCGCCTCCGCCGCTGTCTACCGTCTGCTCGTAATCCACTTGGTCACGTCCTGAACTCCCCAATCCCTTCTCCTGCTGCGACCTTTCATCCCAGTCGCCGCTCCACCGTCGTCGCACGACTGGTCCTCGGCACTGCTTCCTAGTCTCTGCTGCAAAGGATTTTTCGTCTATTCGCTGGTGAGTGGCGAGTCTGCTTCTTTTTTATCAGTTATACATGATTGGATAATGAGTAGAATTCTATAGGGTCTTCAAGGCGTTTCTGTTTAGAGCAATGTCGAGTTTTCGACGATTGGGTAATGTGGTTGTTACAATGGTTCTCTTAGTGAATCACCATCTGAAATGCTTTAACTTGTTTAAAACATGTGGGGACTAGTTTCAATCGAGCTTGGACTTGTTTATGCTTTCAGTGGTCTTGTTTGGCAATAGAGAAGGAAATGAAAACCAGTATTGTTTAGGTAGTTTTCCTTCCGTAACAATGAAGAGCTTTGTTGCTTTGTAAAGGGCTATCATATACCTTGTTCTGAACGGACGCATTTCCATATCTTCGTAGTGTTATTTGAACTGATCCAAAAAAAAAAAAAAAAAAAAATTCTGCACCAATAATATGTCTAATGCCCGAATAGCCAGGTTTGGTTAGCTGCCGTGCTTAGACAGAGAATATAGATTAGATTTATATGAGCTTCTAAGTATTCAGCTGCTCTCAGGTATGGCTTGCAATCTTGACATTTATGATTTCAGATACTAGAACTTGCTCTTTGAAAACATACCAAGTGACCAGTTTGTGTTTTCCATGCATCATACTATCATGCATTCTATGGCTAAGAAGATCTCATGTAAACTCATAAGTCATAATGGTATGTAGTTTGAGTAAACCTAGTAACATTCTTGGGCAGGAATTTACTCCTGGGTCTCAGCGATATATTTCAAATTCTCGTCCTGTGGTAGCTCTTTGAAAATAAAGTATTCCTAAGGAGTATTTTTGGAAAACCCCAGATGAAAGTTGCTTTCTTACTACTGTTATCAGACTTAACAGTGGATGTTAAGATGATAGTTAGCGCTCTATCTTCTCCCTGCTTTGAAAGGCTACACTAGCTGCAACCTTGTCCGTGAGAGAGTTAACTTAAACATTCCCCCTCTTTGCTTAACTGAATAAGATGCCCTGTCTTGTAATCGAGTTTCTTGAATTCCTTGATGAGGAGCTTCTGCATGCTAGAAAATGTCGAACTGCCAAAAGATTGAGGCATTCACTGGCACAATGATGCTATTTTCTGGCAAATCCGGCATTTAATTTCTTTCTTTGAAAACTTCTGCCATGGTCCACGTGATTTATCTTGAAAATATTTCAACTCTGAATTCACATGCTACCATCTTTCTGATGTTTGTTTGTTGATTCCTTTTTTTTTTCCAGTTGAAATGGGTTGGAAGGCAGCTGAAAAGCTCATCCGACACTGGAAAGTACTAAGAGGAGATAATGTGAGAATGCTTTGTGAATTCACTTCCTCTCCCTTCTGTCTTTGACCAAGCTTCCTTCCCTTCATTTAATTACCAATCATGGATAATGTTTCCTATTGACTTCATCCATTACAGGTCATGATTATTAGGGGCAAGGATAAGGGTGAGTCTGGTGTGATTAAACGCGTCATCCGCTCTCAAAATCGTGTTATTGTCGAGGGAAAGAATCTGGTAAGAAGCTAATTTTTCTTTGTATTCCATTTTGTTTCCCTTGGGTGCAATTTTTGAAAACTATATCTCCCTCAGCTTTATCAGCATGAAAGCCTCTTGATAATGCTAAAGTTATTATGGACCCGATGGGATTCTAAACTACAATCTTGTTGCCTGGTTTGTGTGGGTTGTCCAATCTAGATGTTTTAAATGAACTATATTATCTGTAAAATTCCCTCGTTTTGATTCTGTTGTATTTCCCTTGACTACATGTCACCACCAATATTTGCCTATCTGTCGTTTGTAGTGTCCACCACCTTTGCTTTTTGTGATATGAAATTTATAGCATTTTCTAGTGAGCCAGGAACTCGGTTCCTTTTCTTAATTTTCGGAAGTAGTTTGTGCAAGAAATTCAGGCAATCACATCAGATAACTGTGCTTAAGCTTATGAACGTGGACAGTTTATTCTATGCTGCCTTGTTTTTATCCGGTAGCTTGAAATGGAATCAAGAGCAATATTGTAGTGTGTTAATGTATAACATGCCTTTGCAAGCTGTGTCCAGCTTGAACTCTAGCGAAGGCGAGAGTTTAGTTTCGCTTGGGTTCTACTTCTAGGCAATGAATTCAGTTTTGTTCACTCTGCTATCTGCTTGTGTGTTTCTGTACTCTCAAAATTCCAATTTCTTGGTCTGTGTAAGTGTGAACACGGGCCAAGTGAAATAACCAGTACTGTAAACTTATCCGTCTTCAATCTTCCTGATACATTCTCTTGTTGGCAGGTTAAAAAGCACATAAAAGGAGGTGAAGGTCATGAGGGAGGAATCTTTACAGTCGAAGCTCCACTCCATGCCTCCAATGTCCAAGTTGTCGACCCAGTCACAGGGTACAGTTTACTGTTACAACATTTGTTTTTACAGTATACCATCAATCTCCCCCTTTTGTAACAAATTTCCACACCCATTGTTCGTCATTGTAAGCAGGAGGCCCTGCAAGGTCGGAATCAAGTACCTGGAAGATGGTACCAAGGTAAGAGTTTCAAGAGCATCCGGATCCATAATTCCACGCCCTGAGATTTTGAAGATAAGGACGACACCGAGACCTACTGAAGGTAAGCAATTTAACAGTCTATCTTGCCCTCTTCTTGCTGTTAGATAAGAACTAGTGAAGAGCAAGATTCTTGATTCTATTTGACTTCTTATGGCTACCAAAGTTTTTTGGGTTCTTAATCCCTTCTTGTGTGTGTGTGTTTTGTTTTTGCTATATACAGCTGGCCCGAAGGATACTCCGATGGATGTGGTGCTGGAGAAGACATACGACTCTAAGACTGGGAAAGGCATGCCTGATCTTTGAAACAACCCCAACTGCACCCACCTTCAAAATCTTAGGTTCTGTCTGACTGTCAAATAATTGTCTTCGACAATCGACGGGAACGTTTTACAGAAGGTTGTGTTCAATATTTACTAGAAAGACTCGTTGCCTCAATTTGAGATGATGCCCTTAGTTTTAGAAAATGTCCTTTTGTATGTTATTTACGAAAGTGCTACCGAGCTCGAATGGAAACAATGGAGAGGACACTTCAGTAATCTTCCTATTTTAATTTGCAGGGTGACCAACCATTGACAAATATTACTTAACATTGATAGATTGCCTTCAACATCACAACATGTACTAGATGTTAGATCCATTTGGTGACATTTTTTGTGTGCGACTGAGCAACAGAACACTAGTGCACTGCATGCCACATAATCACGACTGAACTTCTAGCCATCAGGATCTGCATTTTGTCGACCCACACATAAACAGACATGCAGGAAGATGAGGATGAGCATCGCCTAGCAAAGCCAGAGACAGACTTCTTCCGGGCGGGCATTGTTAATTCTTTGCCGGACTGGATAAGCTCTGCTCAGCTAGTTTACCAACATTGCTACTTCTTCTTGACAAGTAATGGGTTCAGACGCAGCAAGCTGCTTAGAATAAACATAGTCACCGGAGAAAGTTTTTTGTCCAAATCGCTCGATTGTCTTTTTCCCCCCCTTCTCTCCCCTGTTTCTAGCTTTCTCTGTTTCCACGTGAAACCCATCTGCTCTTTCTACACAAGAAATTCCCCAAAGTTTGCACTACAAGACAGATCGTATAAACACCTCGTGGGTGCATTGCATTCTTCCGTACTCTCTCTAATACGCGGCGATCGTCTCCATGGGACATTAGACACGTTATAGCATGCCAAGCGACACCCGTCGAAATGCATGCAAATTTCATCACTCTCCCTCCCCTGTTTTTTCTTCCTCTTTCTTTATAGCTCTCAACCGGTGCTATCTGTCTCCTCTCCACCCTTATCAGATCTTAAAAGCACCTATATAAACAAACACTCACATCTCATCCCCAACTCACCACCATCTCTTTTGACTTTTGAGTGAAGGAAAAACAACAAAGGGAAGGAAGAAAAAAATGAGAACCATCACTGTAGTTGTCTTTGTGCTCCTCTCTGCTCTGGTTCTGGTCTCAGGGTTTGCTTCAGCGACTGATCCCGAGAAGAGGGTGAAGGAATGCAAACACCAGTGCAAGCAGCATAAGGGTTACACCGAGCAAGAGAGGGAGATTTGCCGGAGCCAGTGCGAGAAGGAGTTTGAAGAAAGCGGCGGTGGCCGGAGACACGAGGATCCGGAGAAGAGGCTGAGGGAATGCAGGGAGAGCTGCCCGGAAGGCCGAGGGCAGACGAGGGCTCTGTGCCGGTTCCGGTGCCAGCAGAAGTACGGGCAGGGGAAGGGTGATGTTGGTGGCGGGAAGTATTACTATGATGTAGAGGAGGAAGAGAAGGAAGAGATGTTTGGAGAAGGTGGGGAAGAAAGGGAAGAGACTCCTTATGTTTTCAGGGATGAGCATTTCCTGACGAAAGCTCGGAGCCAGCACGGAAGGGTCGATATCCTCCAGAGGTTCACTGAGAAATCAGAGCTTCTGAAAGGGATCGAGAATTATAGGATCGGTGTTCTTGAAGCTAATCCGCAGACTTTCGTTAACCCCGGCCACTTCGATGCAGATGGTGTTCTCTTTGTAGCACAAGGTAATGTCTTTTTTTTTTTTTTTTTTTTTTGTTAATGAATCAAAGCAAAATTCTTTGATCCTGTCTTGACAAAAAATTGAACATTCTATCAATTGTAGGAAGAGGGACGTTTACAATTATACGGGAGGACAGAGGGCGAACGACTTCGAGGAGCGAGATCAAGAGGCACAGCTTCAACATTGAGACTGGAGATGTGATTAGGGTTCATGCTGGAACTCCTGCATACATTGTGAACAAGCACGAAAGCCAGAAGCTAGTGATCATCAATTTCATTCGACCCGTCAACGCTCCTGGAACATTCGAGGCATTCCACGGGGCAGGTGGCGAGAACCCGGAATCTTTCTTCAGAGCATTTAGTCCTGAGCTGCTTGCAGCTGCTTTTAAGGTCAGTTCTCACAATAGTGTCTCATCCGATTAAGATAATTTCAAGCAGTCGTATTGTTCATATCCAAATTTTTTAATTTTACTTTTTGGCAGGTTGATAGGGAGAGTCTGCAGAGGATCTTCCAACAACAACAGGAAGGAACGATCATGAAAGCATCCAAGGAGCAAATCAGGGCTCTGACCCATGGGGAGGAAGGTGGAGGAATTTGGCCATTCGGCGGCGAATCGAGCGGTCCCTTCAATCTCCTCCATAGGCGCCCTGTTCAGAGGAACAAGTATGGCCAGCTGTTTGAAGCAGACCCTAACGAATTCGAGCAGCTAGAAGATCTCGACCTCATGGTCTCCTTTGCCAACTTCACTCAAGTATTGCTTCACCAATCAAGCTCCCCTACTTTACCTCACAATGAGGTTTACACTTGATCTCTTTTAATTTCAAGACCTTAAACAGCTCTGAATGTCAATGTACAGGGAGCAATGGCTGGACCATTCTATAACTCGAAGGCCACCAAGATCGCTTACGTGGTGGACGGTGAAGGCTACTTCGAGATGGCTTGCCCTCACGTTTCGAGCACCAGGAAGGGAAGAAGGGGACAGAGCGGTCGTGCCGAGGGTTCGCGCCAGGGCCCGAGTTACGGGCAAGTGAAGTCCCGGCTGACGAGAGGCATGGTGTTCATAGTCCCCGCGGGCCACCCCGTGGCGACGGTGGCATCGACTAACAGCAACCTCCAGGTGCTGTGCTTCGAGGTGAATGCACGGGACAACTTCAAGTTCCAGCTTGCAGGGAAGAACAACGTGATGAGCAAGATGGAGAGCCAGGCGTTGGAGCTAGGGTTCGGGGTTCCGGCTCGGGAAGTGGAGAAGATTTTCAGGAACCAGAATGAAGAGTTCTTTTTCCCCGGGCCAGAGATGCAGCAGCAGCGAAGGAGAGGTTATAGTGATGTGTAGGGGTGTTGAAAACTTGGGGGAAGGAGAGGGTTGAAGAAGAGAGGTGAAATGTTTTGAGTGGAAAATGTGTAAATTATGAGAGGAGAATAATAACAACCCCGTGCATCGTGAGAGAATAATAAGCTTTTCATCCTCTTGCTGTTTTCTGTGATGTTCGCATGTCGTCTCTCCTGCTTCCTACTGTGAAAATTTAAGTGTACTGCTGACCATAATGAAAACTACAGTTCGTTTTAAACAATGACAGTTCCAGCCACCATTCTTCTCGATACTTGATTACTTTAATTTAGTTTTTTTGGGTAATGGTGAACTGATATATTAGTTAATTTAAAAGAAAAGAGATAAGAGGAGAAGCAGAGTACAAACTACAAACAGAAAAAAGACAAGAGGCGAAGCTCTGAAACTTGTTTCTTTTATGCCTTGATCGATGGAATGGAACTTTTTTCTTGTTTTTGAATGGTGTTTATCAATTCTTTTATATTTGCACTCTCTACGCAATAAAGATTTTTCTTGGTTTTTATTTGCACATAAGGTTGGTGTGGGCATTCGGTCGAGATCGAACCGAAATTTTATGAATATCAGGTCCCCGAATTCTCCCAAACCGAATTCGAATCGAAATATAATTCGATTCAGTTTTTCACATAAAACCGAATTTGTGAAGCTACTTGTATCTTCTCACTTTTAAATTATTTTTCATCCCTAATATAAAACAATAAATATACAATTATATGTATCATCAATAATAAAATCAAACTTTTCAACACATAAGTCATAAAACATTTCAAATATTTAAGTCTAAAAACAACTACAAACATAAAAATCCACCATTTGGAGCTTGCAATTATAGCATTTCGGTTTTTTGGCCGGAAATTCGAAATTCGGTTTGGTTGAAAGAACCCTGATTTCCGAAATATCCATATTTCCCTTCCGAATTCCGAACCGAATAACATTATTTCGGTTTCAGTTCGATTTAATTCTGTTTCGATTCGATTTGAGTTTACCGGACCGGTTGCCCACCCCTACTTCTAGGATGCCTTGTAGCATGGGTAAGGTTATTTGCTATGGAGGTAAACCCACTAAGTAACCGATCCCACATTATTAATGATAATTTTGTAGATAATGAGTCAATAATTGGAAGTGATACAAACTATAATTGTACCATATCGTATAGGTACAAGTTTGGGTTGTACCATTGAGTAATTTGTTTGAAAAGTGTAGATAAAATTCAAAGTAGTACATAGCGTGTCGGTACAATTTTAGGTTATACCATAGAGAGATTTTTTTTTTGGAAGTGTACGTACAACCTTAAGTTATACCATAGCATGAAGGTACAAGTTAAAGTTTGTTAGAAACAAAGTTTCTAACGGGTTTGGGATTAGGGAATTAGCTAGATCAATTAGGGATTGACCTAGCTAGGGATTTGGAATTGGAGAATTGACACAAAGAGAGGGGAAAGGAGAGCAGCTGCTGCTGCCAAGTTTGGGAGGGGAAGAGGGAAAGGGGGATGCAGGAAGAGAGAGGAAGAGAGAGAGTAGATTTTAGGTTTTTGATATTTTATTGCTTAATGAAAAATAACACCCTACTGCAGATTATATAATCCGCATAATTCCGACCTCCTACCCAACTAATAAAACGTAACAATTGACTCCCTGTTTATTACCCGAATACCCCAAATAATCCCCCCAATTAACAAAACCGACAATAATGCGAATTAACCAAAAGCTGCAAATAATTTGTTTCTAACATCCCCGCCTCCTTGGGAAGCAACCTTGTCCTCAAGGTTGAAGCTACTCCGGCATCGGCCCTGGGTCCTCGACGGCTTCATCCTCTGCCTCGTCTTCCCAGCGCCCCACCAAGAACATTAAATCAGGCTTCCCGCATTTGTGACCAAAGGTGAACCTCTCGTCGCAGTTAAAGCACTTTCCCTCCCGCCTCTTCTGCTCGATCTCTGCAGGAGACAACTTGGTAAACCCTTTGGGCGGGGCCCTCGGCCCTGCTCGGATGGCCGCTGTAGGTGGGCCAGTCGCCCCACCTCCCCCGTGCTCGTTCCCGATGGCAAACCCCCCGGCCCGCTACTCGGCCCGCTGCCGCTTCCTCCTCCACTCGGCTTCTGATACCGGCCTATCACTCCCCGCCAGCTAGTCAGTTCCTCCTCTTTGTTACCTGCAAGACGAAACACAACTCGCAGTGACTCCGGTTCGAATACCAGAACCGCGGCCGCAATCCCCGGGCGGAGTCCCGCCATGCATAGGCCCACCAATGTCTCTTCGGAGACCCCCTTACACTAGTTACCCAGTTTGAAGAACTCGGCCTTGTACTCCACTACCGTCCCGGTCTGACGTAGTTTGGCCAACTGCTTTGGCGCCCATCCTTCCGATTTCCCGAACTGATACCGCAACTCCTCCTTGAACATAGGCCAAGTAATCAGTGTATGTGCTTCCGCGTATGTCCGCTCCATCTACTCCCACCACTACAGTGCATCCCCTTCCAAGTAAAAGGAAGCTAGTTGAGCCTTCCGTTCTTCCCTAGTGGGGTGGTTCTTGAACCACCGTTCAGCTGAGTATAGCCACAGTCCTGCGTCCTCAGGACCATTGAATTTTGGAAACTCAATGGTGGGAGGCCGAGCTCGAAACACCATATCATCCTCTTCCTCCCCACCCCGGAAATAACCGGCATTTCTTCCACCGCTTGGGCCCCCACTGTGGTAGGGCTGTGAGAATCGTGGGTCCCCGTCGCACCCCCAGTGGTCCCCTTCATCCTCCTGGTACCCCACTCTCCCGATTTACTCATTCCTCGGCCTCCGATCACCCGTCCACGTCCTCCTAGATTCCTTCCCGGCGCCCCGTTGAATTGCAGAAGAGGGAAGGGGCCCACAGTACTCGTCGAACTGGCCTTGCGGACCTGGGTAACCCCTGCTGCCCGCCTGGTATGGATATCCCGACGGCTGGACCGGTTCGAACGGGTTCGGTCCGACCGATTTCGGTTCGATTGGTTTCGGTTCGACCGGTTTCGGCCCGACCGATGGGGACCCGGCTCGTCCCTGCTCGGCCCACATCAATCCGGCCCGGTTGGGTCCGTCCCGCTGCTCCCGGCCGCCCCGACTCCCACCCGCGGCCCGTCTCCCTCCAACCTCCACCCGGCCCACCTTCCCACCGGGCTCGGCCCACCAGGCTGCACTCCTCCCTTCTGCCATCCGCCCCCTGCCCACACTGCTCGTTAGGCCATGGTCCACGATCCATCTCCTGCTCCGGATCCACCAGCTCCTCCTAATTCAGGCCCGCTTGCAGGTCCGCGTCCACATACTCGGCCATCTTGACCTTGCCGCGCGCGCGCCACCTCCTGGGCCGATGGGGTAGGCAAAAGACCATCCTTGCTTGTGGGGCCGAAGGAGACGTGGCCCGTATGCGAAACATGAGGTCGGCTAGGGTTGGTCGTCGCCGCCCCCCCTTCCGCCGAGATCCGCTCGGCTCCCTGGCCGCCGACCACCGCCGCCGAGGCGGATCCCTCCTCCGCCGCGCCTCCCTCCTCCGGCGGCTTCCCGCCGTCGCCAGCTCCTGCCCCGCTTCTCTTCCAAGCCTCCGTCAGGCTGCTCACCTGCCCCTGCAACGCCTCCACTGCCGCCAACAACGCGTCAAGAGTGCGGCCGTGATCTCTGGCTTGCACCTGCAACCCATTCAACTCCTCCTCGACCCTCGCCTGCCTCTCTACTTGCGTCTCCACGACCTTCCTCAGCCCTTCGATCTCCGTGAGATCTTCTAACTCCCTGTCGAGCCCTACATCCCCCCCCTCGGAGTTCTTCCCAGCCGCATGCGCCGCCTTCTCTGCCGCCTTCATGGACTTTGTCGATACCATCGTCGCCTTCCCTGGTTCAAGAGCTCAGAGGAACGCACACTCTTGAGCGAGGCTCTGATACCAGATGTTAGAAACAAAATTTCTAACGGGTTTGGGATTAGGGAATTAGCTAGATCAATTAGGGATTGACCTAGCTAGGGATTTGGAATTGGAGAATTGAGACAAAGAGCGGGGAAAGGAGAGCAGCTGCTGCTGCCGAATTTGGGAGGGGAAGAGGGAAAGGGGGACGCAGGAAGAGAGAGAGAGTAGATTTTAGGTTTTTGATATTTTATTGCTTAATGAAAAATAACACCCTACTGCAGATTATATAATCCGCATAATTCTGACCTCCTACCTAACTAATAAAATGTAACAATTGACTCCCTGTTTATTGCCCGAATACCCCAAATAATCCCCCCAATTAACAAAACCAACAATGATGCGAATTAACCAAAAGCTGCAAATAATTTGTTACTAACAAAGTTGTACCATAAAGTATAGGTACAATTTTGAGTTGTACCATAGAGGGATTTTTGGGAAAGTGTAGTTACCCCTTTAAATTGTACCATAGTGTACAGGTACTACTCTAGAAAGTGTAGGTACAACTTGAACTTGTACCATAATGTATAGGTACAAGTTTTGGTTATATCATAAGTACAACTTAAACTTGTACCATAATGAACAGGTACAAGCTTTGGTTATACCATTGGAATTTGTTAGAAAGTGTAGGTACAACATAAAGTTGTAACATCGTATAAGTACAAGTTTGGGTTGTACCATAGAAGGATTTGTTAGAAAGTGCAGGGACAACTTAAAGTTGTACCATAAGTATAGGTACAACTTTGAATTGTACCACAGAAGGATTTGTTAGAAAGTGCAGGTGCAACCTTAAGTTGTACCATAAGTATATGTACAATTTTGACTCGTAACATAGAGAGATTTGTTAGAAAGTGTAGGTACAACTTAAAGTTGTACCATCGTAATTTAGGTTGTATTATAGAGGGATTTTTTGGAAAGTGTAGATACAACTTTAAGTTGTACTATAGTGTATAGGTAGAATTCTAGAAAGTGTAGGTATAACTTAAACTTGTACCATAACGTATAGGTACAAGTTTTGGTTATACCATAGAAGGATTTGTAGGAAAGTATAGATACAATTTAAACTTGTACCATAACGTATAGCTACAAGTTTTGGTTATATCATAGAAGAATTTTGTAAAATATTTGAATGCGGAAGTAACGACACACGATTTTACGTGGTTTCCCTACTCGATATGAGTAGGACTAGTCCACGAAGAGCTTAGGGCTCTTAGTCCTTTCTTTCATTGAATTTATGACTGAATAACTTGCTTTACAACGTACAACAGCAAGCCATATATAGAAGAAGTCTACTTGTGAACCTGCTGAACTCTAGGTCACGTAGAAGGAGAAAAGAGTTGCACTTTGAAAGGGAAAGCAACTCTAGTGACTTGGACGACAAGAAAGTGATGAGGTACGTGTGCGGATAGAACTCGAACACACACGTACACGTAATACTCCCCCTCAAGTGAAGGCGTGGATGTCGAGCATGCCGAGCTTGGAAAGAAGATGACGGAACTGATCAAGACCAAGTCCTTTGGTGAGAAGGTCGGCCGGCTGATCGGCGGTGGAAATCTTGCGTGGAGCAACATGCGAAGCTTGAACTCGCTCGCGAACAAAATGACAATCCATTTCCACATGTTTGGTGCGTTCATGGAAGGCCGGGTTTGCGGCAATGTGGAGAGCAGCCTGACTGTCACAGTATAGAGGGGTGGTGCCAGGTTGAGGACAGCCAAGTTCAGCCAGCAACCAGCGAAGCCAGATCAACTCACTCACCGTGGTGGCCATAGCACGATACTCAGCTTCAGCAGACGATCGAGCAACAACATATTGTTTCTTTGTGCGCCATGATAAAGGAGCATTACCCAGACGAATGAAGTAGCAAGTGGTGGAGTGACGAGTGGTGGGACAACCTCCCCAATCCGCATCACAGTATGCGGTGAGGGTGAGATTGGATTGGGTAGGAAGATAAAGGCCACACCCGGGAGACTGCTTGAGGTAATGTAGCACTCTTGTGGCAGGATCCACATGTGCCTGGGTTGGACTGTGACCACCTTGACTGAGTAGATTAACTGCATACTGAATGTTAGCCCGGGTGACAGCGAGATACATCAGGCGGCCAACAAGACGACGGTAACCAGAAGGGTCAACGGGCAATGGAGAAGGGAGGCGACCTAAATGGTGATTCTGCTCAATGGGTGTGGCAATGGGACGACCCCCTTCAATGCCACAATCGCTCAAGATGTCAAGCACGTATTTTCGTTGATTTAGAACAATGCCGTGCTTGGAGCGAGCTACTTCAATACCGAGAAAGTACTTGAGAGGGCTAAGGTCTTTGATGGTGAAACGTTGATGCAGGAAGTGCTTAATTCGTTGAATGAACGGAAGATCATCACCGGTAAGAATCACATCATCAACGTAGATCAAAGTAGCAACAAAACTGGTATCGGTCCTGCGGATAAAGAGAGAGTGATCGACATGACTTTGAACAAAGCCAAGACTGAGTAGAGCATCTGAGAATTTCTGATACCAATTTCAGGAGGCCTATTTCAACCCATAAATCGATTTACATAGGCGACAAACACGAGTATCACCGTCTTGAGCAAAGCCTTGAGGGAGTTCCGTGTAGACTTCTTCGGTGAGATCCCCGTGAAGAAACGCGTTGTTGACGTTGAGCTGGTGGAGTGTCCAACCTTTGCTGGAAGCAACAGCAATGAGACAACGAACCGTAACAAGCTTAGCCACAGGAGCGAAGATATCGTGATAGTCAATCCCTTCTATCTGAGTGTATCCCTTTGCCACGAGGCGTGCTTTGAAACGTTCGATGGAGCCGTCAGGTTTATATTTGATTTTATAAACCCATTTGCAATTGATAGTGCATTTTCCATGAGGCAGGGTGGTGAGAATCCACGTACCATTGGTGACAAGAGCCTCTATTTCGGCTTGCATGGCTGCCCGCCACTCCTTGTGTCGCACAGCTTGATGAAAGTAGCGCGGCTCGGTGTGGAGATCAACTGCTGCAAGAAAGGCATGATGTGAAGTGGAGAGACGTTCATAGCCCACGTAGTGCTCAAGTGGATGCCGGAAGTGAGTTGCATGGGGCCGACCTGGAGCGTATGTCTCGTAGCCATCGAGACGGAAAGAGGGACGAGTCTCGCACGTGCTTCGATGAAGGGGAGCAGGCGAGGATGGAGTGGGACTTGAGCTGGCGGCCTCGGGAAGCGGTAAGGAGAGAGGCGCTGCTGGAGAGTGAGGCGGCGAGGTGTCCAAGGGCTCAGCAGGTGAAAATGGCAAGGGTGAGCTGTTGTCGTCATGGGAGGTAGAGGATGTTGTCGAGGGAGATGGAGGCTCAGCGGGGAGAGGTTGTGGAGAGCTGGTATGCTCGTCGTTGATAGCAACTTGCTGGCGCGTACTAAGAGGATGTTCACCAATATCATTATCATCGAAATCCTGGCTACAAGAGAGATGGCCAAGAGTGTCAATCCCTTTGCGAAAAGGAAAGACATTTTCAAGAAATAGTACGTCCCGGGACGTGTAGATGTGATGGTTTTCAAGATCGTATACTTTGTAACCACGTTGAGAGGCAGGATAGCCTACGAAGATGCCAGCGTGCCCTCTTGGGGCAAACTTCGATAGATGCGGCTGCGTATCCTTTGAGTAAAGAAGGCACCCGAAGCTTCGGAGATGTTCGTACTTGGGTGCTCGCCAATGAATGAGCTCAAACGGGGGTGCAATTACCAATAGACGAGAGGGGCAGCCTGTTGATCAAATAAGCTGCGGTGAGAACGCATTCGCCCCGGAACCGAGTTGATAAGCCGGAGTGGAAGCGAAGAGCTCGAGTAGTGTCGAGTAGGTGCCGATGTTTGCGTTCTATGACCCCATTCTATTGGGGAGTGTCAACTCATGAGGTTTGAAGAATAACCCTTTCCGTCTCATTGTAATCTTGCAAAGCGGCAACACTAAACTCGCTACCGTTATCACTTTGAATACGTTTGACATGTCCGTTATATTGAGTACGAACTTGATTGAGAAAAAGAAGTAAATATCGAGCTACTTCTGACTTGTACTTCAATAGATAAACCCAAACAGTCGTGCTGTAGTCATCGATGATAGTAAGAAAATAGTGTGCTCCACTAAAGGAAGCCTGCTTATATCCACCCCAGATATCGACATGAATAAGTTCAAAATAAGACGATGTTTTAATAGAACTAGTCGAAAAAGGAAGACGAGTCTGCTTGGCCCGCAAACAGGAAGGGCACGGGTCTTTATTGGAAATTAAAGTTCTAGGAATGTGTGGCTGCAGCAACATGAGCTTCGCCGGAGATGGATGACCGAGCCGGGAGTGCCAAACTGCCGACTCTCGACTTGCGTTACATGTATTGAAAGCTACTGGATGATCACCGTCAATGACACGTAAGTAATATAGCCCGTCAACATACTTCCCCATCCCAATCATCTTCTTCTAGTGCAAGTCCTGGATGACACAGAAATTACTGATAAAGATTACAGCAACAAAATGATCCGCTGTGAGACGACTGACCGAGAGCAGATTGCACTTAAAGTCACGAACATATAAAACACGACGTAGAACCAATCCATTTGATAACTTAGAAGAACCAATCCCACGAACCAGGATGCCCTTTCCATTAGGGATCGTGACCTGTAACGAGGGGTGAGGCTCGATCTCACCATCAAACAAGGAGGTATGTTTAGCGATATGTTCGGTGCAACCGGAATCAATGACCCAATCATTTTGAAAGCGAAGAGTGTTACCTGTGAGGTGGCTTTTTGGATCAGTCAAAGAAGGAGATCCAGAGAAGAGGAACGTTTTGAGCTGGGCTACTTGAGCTGCAAAAAGTCCTGGGATTGGTGAATCAAGGAAGCCATCAATTGCTGCTGCTTGAGGATCATTGCGAGGCTGCTTCCCTTGATTCCTTCTATGAGGTTTGTCTCCCTTCTCATTGGTACGGAGTGGATAGTCAATGAGCTCGTAACAGGTTGACTTGAAATGTCCAGGCTTCTCGCAGTGTGTACAAAAGGGATGCCCTTCAGGGGTTCTTTCCTCAGATCGAGATATTTCCCCCTTGCCTTGAAACGCGACGGCTTCGGTTCGCGAGCGAATATCATTGGAGATGCTGCGTTGTTGTTCGTCGTTGGCAACAGCATGATAAGCCTCGCCAAGAGTGGGTATGGGCTTGAGAGATAGAAGATGAGTCCGAACAGCCGAAAACCCATCATCAAGGCCAACGAGGAAATCCAAAAGACGCATGCTTTCATGTGAGCTGCGTGTGCGTTGCTCAACACCACACTCACACTTCCCACAAGTACATGTCGCAGGCGGGTCCAGTGTAAGCCAATCATCCCATAGACGTTTTAACTTGGCATAAAAACTGGACACAGTGGAACGATCTTGACGCAGACCTGTGATTTCGCAGCAGATCTTATACCTGCGAGGGAGATTACCGGTGCTGAATCGCTCCTTGAGCTCGTCCCATATCTGCTTAGATATGAATCTGGTGCTTAAGCTGCTGCGGAGTTCTCGTGTCATTGCACTACGCAACCAACCGATAACCATGGCGTTGCAGCATGTCCAAGCGTCAAGTTTCTCAACTGAATTGGGACGGGGAACAGTTCCAAGCACAAAACCGAGCTTGTTCTTTGCAATGAGCGCATTAGAAATTCCAGCAGACCATTCTCCATAGTTGGCATCAGTGAGCAAGTCTCCAACAAATACCTGGCTGGGAGCATCAGAGGGATGGAGATAAAGTGGTGATGTCGGACCAATGACATCATCGTTGGTAAGAGGCGGCATATCAGTAGTGTCTCCATAACCGGTTATTTCCTCGTCCTTGGCCATGAGGGCGATTCAGGATCGAGAAAAACGGCTGACGCTGGAGACGGAGAATGACGCTGAAGGCGAACGTGAGGAACTGATGACAGCTGCAACTTTGAGAGGTAACGAATGATTGAAGATGAAGAAATTGCAAAACCCTAATGGATCGAGGTTTTCTCTTATACCATGTAAAATATTTGAATGCGGAAGTAACGACACACGATTTTATGTGGTTTCCCTACTCGATATGAGTAGGACTAGTCCACGAAGAGCTTAGGGCTCTTAGTCCTTTCTTTCATTGAATTTATGACTAAATAACTTGCTTTACAACGTACAACAGGAAGCCATATATAGAAGAAGTCTACTTGTGAACCTCCTAAACTCTAGGTCACGTAGAAGGAGAAACGAGTTACACTTTGAAAGGGAAAGCAACTCTAGTGACTTGGACGACAAGAAAGTGATGAGGTACGTGTGCGGATAGAACCCGAACACACACGTACACGTAATAGATTTGTTAGATAGTGTAGGTACATTACAACTTAAACTTTCACCATAACGTTTAGGTACAAGTTTTGGTTATACCATAGAAGGATTTGTTAGAAAGTGAAGGTACAATTGAAAGTTGTACCATAAAGTAAAGGTACAACTTTGAGTTGTATTATAGTGTGATTTGTTAGAAAGTGTAGGTACACCTTAAAGTTGTATGATAAAGTATAGGTACAATTTTGAGTTGTACCGTAGAGGCATTTGTTAGAAAGTGTAGGTACAACTTAAAGTTATTCCATAGCTTATAGGTACAACTCTAGAAAGTCTAGGTACAACTTAAACTTGTACCATAACGTATAGGTATAAGTTTTGGTTATACCATAGAAGGATTTTTTGGAAAGTATATGTACAAATTCTGGTTGTACCATATAGTACAGGTACAATTTTGGGTTGTACCACAGAGGGATTTTTTGAAAATGTAGGTACAACATATCGTTGCTTCATAGCGTATAGGTACAAGTTTGGGTTGTAACATAGATGGATTTATTTGAAAGTGTAGATACAACTTATAGTTGTATCATATCGTATAGGTACAAGTTTTGATTGTACATTCGGAATTGTTGTAGGTACAATCCAAAGAATCATAAATCACATGGTTAATTGGATCTAATGGCTACCCTTTTGTGAAAACTTAATAACAAGAACAATCTCTGTAAATAAAATAAAAACCACACTTTTGTTCATCTTGACCTAAGTTAATAATTGCAAGCAGCATGATGAATTGAGAAGAAAACATGACCACCCACTCTGCTCACTGGCCACCACCATTTCTCTCCATCATACACAATTCCCTCTTCCTCCCTCTCTCCGGATCCAGGCATGAACTCCGCCCGACGAACACTAGCTCTGAGTTCTTGTATCTTGGACGCTTGTTAATACCCATTGGATTGGGGATGGTGGCGGTTGAATCCTGCTCCGATTGAGTTTCTAGTTACGGGGAAGATGGATTCGTCGGAGCTCCGGCCGCTCTCGCCACTGAATCGTCATCTACAAAATATGGATGCTTATGGTTCCCCCTAAAGATGAGGAAGAAGAGGAAGAACACCCAACCATCCTAGTTGCTTTCTTGTCCTTGGACTTTCGGCGCGGGTGTAGAATAGGAAGAAGCCAAATGAAAAGGGGTAGATAAGTTTTGTTCAACGGAAGGCAACAAGATGAAGAAGAAAGGGGAGCGGCAACCCTTGCATTTAGGGTTTTTCTGGGAAGCTAGAGGAAGAAGAAAATGATGGCTCGAAGAGTCGATTTAAGGGTTTCTCTAGGTTGGGTAGGGAGCGATCAATAAACCATGGGTTGAGTGCTTTTTGACGTGGCCGATTTTTATGATGTGGCGGGTCAGGTTTTATTTTTTCCGGGTCAAAATTAGGTGACTAGATATTTCTTTTAGCCACATCAGCAAAAAAAAACTAACGCCGTTTGATAGACCGTTAATTACACATGTTTTTACCCCTGTTCTTACACCGTTTGAGATATGATTTCTCGTGTTTTAGGCCGATTTCACGCTAGGTTGTGCTTGTTTGTGATATTTCAGGTCCTAGTACGTGAATGAAGGCTTGGGAGCGAGTTTGGGGTCGATTGGATGAAGATCGGATGCGTGGCGAGGTACAAAGGAGGCCACACGGGCACACTCACAAATCACATGGCCGTGCAGCTCATATTTCTGGCCGTGTGTGTTTTGCCGAGAGCAAACACGGCCTGCCCTGACAAGTCACACGGCCGTGTGACAAAGTGCTCTGGCCGTGTGACTTTTGCCGTGAGCAGACACGGGCAGATGGAAATCAAACACGGCCGTGCCATCCTGGCCGTGTGAGAAGCCTAAAGATCGAACTTAAGTGATACGGTGCGTTTTGACTCACACGGGCAACTGGGTATGCCACACGGCCGTGTGACCCTACCCGTGTGAGTCGGGATTTCCTGGTTTTAACCCAATTCCGGGCTGCAAGAGAAAGGATCGGACTTTTTGAGCAAAAACAGAGTTTTAGAGAGAGAAAGTGCGAAGAACTCACCCTAGAAGCCATCTTGGAGCTGGGTTTCATCAAATCAAGCTTGGAGATCGTCCTAGGAGTGGAAATCATCATCCCGGAGCAGATTTTCCTCATCATTATGAGTATGACTACTCCGATTACTGTTTTCTTTTCTCTCTCTATGGAGTAGAACCTCTCTCTCACTTGGGGATGAAGAACCCTAGTTCTATGTGTTAGGGGATTGATTGTAATGACTTGGGATGATATTACTGTTTGATTATAATCGAATGATGCATGTTTATTGAGTCAATTGAAGTCTGATCAACTTTTCCTGATTCCTGCTGCAATCTGAGATAGATAGAATCTGATTAGGTTGCTAGAGTCTCATCATTCGATAGTAGGAGATTGGCTATACGAGAGTTAGCCAGTTTACTGCTTTGTACTGGAATCTAATTCCAGTAGTGAATTTCTGTTCTTACTGCTTCAGCTTTCTATCCCGGTGAAGACTAGTCGTCTGCCGGGTAGTTAGACTGAGAGGGCTTGGTCAGCTTAAGAGATTCCAAGCTACTGTCGGATCATCCGCAGTTTAATCAACAGTAAATCAACCCAGGGTAAATTGCAATTGAAACCTAACTAAAGAGCTAGGGGGATTCATTCCCGAGTGACTCTTTCCTGCTTAAGAAAACCGAATAATTTCCTGCTTTATTTCTGCTTTTAGTTTAAACAACAATCACTTACTCTAGTTGGCTAGATAACAGAGAATCACTGAGTAAGCAGTAGATCTAGAGCCCGGGTTGATAATATAACTTGCCTGTTACTGCATTCCCGGTCTGCGATTACACTTGGTCGCAGATTGGTGTTGTGTTTTGGCGTGTCACCGTTAACCATTAAACTAATTTGAGTGACCACAAATGGATTTATATATTTTTAGTGACCAAATATGAACGTTTTTAGTAATCCAAGTGACCAAACTTGTAATTTACCCCAATATGTATTGTCTTAAACTGGTCATGTAACTCAGTTTGTCTCCTATACAAAAGTGCCATGTCAAATTGCTTGACAAACTCAGTTTGTCTAGATAAGAGTTCATGCTCTCACAACGTTGAGACGGAGTCATCGCAGAAAAAAAAAGTACCTTTCAAGTAAGCAGTTGCCCATAGATCTCGTTGCCTAAACATCTTCATCCACGCATTGTGCTCCATATCATACTTGGACAAAATTTCCTTCCAGGTAGCTTCAAATTGTGGAATAGAGCTTTAGTTTAGCATGCATTGTTTGAAATCCTCCCAGAATCCTTCTGCATGGCCATGCGCTTCTGCATTATTGCCCAAGTGCCAAGAACATAACCAATGTCAAGATCTGGGAAGAACCGACTTGATTGCTTTCCTCAATGAAGAACAACCATCTGTTATAACTGTTGTTGGCTTCTTAGCACCCATGCACCATTACGATGTTGAGGGTTTAGGAGCTAGGATTTTCGTCATTGTCTTTGTTAAAAATTAAATGACCCATAATCATAATCAATATCTGAAATATCACAATTAAATCGGTTGGGTTGGTTGAAATATCAAAATCTAAAATATCATAAGTAGATGGGTTCAACCCAAAACCATAATGAAACACTCACTCAACCATATATAGTAAACCAATCTCAACTTGTTTGAAAATTAGGTGGGTTAAACTCAAAACCATAATCAAACGGTCACTCAACCATATACCGTAAACCCAATGTCACATCAGTTGACAATTAAATGGGTTCAATCCAAACCCGTAATCAAACGCTCACTCAACCATATATAGTAAACCAATCTCAACTCGTTTGATAATTAGATGGGTTAAACCCAAAACCATAATAAAACGGTCACTCAAACGTATGTCGTAAACCCAATGTCACATCGGTTGATACTTAGATGGGTTCAACCCAAAACCGTAATCAAACGCTCACTCAACCATATACTGTAAACCAATCTCAACTCGTTTGACAATTAGATGGATTGAACCCAAAACCATAATCAAACAATATCTCAAACATTTACCGTAAACCAATCTTTCATTGGTTGACAATTAGATGGGTTCAACCCAAAATCAAAAGCTCACTCAAACATATACCATAAACCAATCTCACATTGGTTGACAATTAGATGGGTTGAACCCAAAACCATAATCAAACAGTCACTCAAACATATACCCTAAAAGCCTCAACCAATCTCACCTTGGTTAACAACTAGATGGGTTAAACCCAAAACCATAATCAAATGGTCACTAAACCATATACCCTAAACCAAACGGTCACTCAATTTAATGGTCACTCAACAACATACCATCCTATAATCAAAATAACACTCAACCATATACGGTAAACTAATCTAACTTTGGTTATCAATTAGATGGATCCAACCCAAAACCATACTCAAACGATCACTTAACTATACACACTCAACTAATCTTTCATCGGAAAATGATTAGATGGGTTCAACCCAAACCTGTAATCAAACGATCACTCAACCATATACCATAAACCAATCGCACGTCGGTTGACAAATAGATGGGTTCAACCCGAAACTATAATCAAACCGTCACTTACCACACACTAAACTAATCTCTTATAGGAAAACAATTACATTGGCTAAACCAAGAACCATTGACAAATATCTTCTCGAAAAAAATTTAATTGGGTTCAACCCATCTCGACTCGGCAAATTAGCAACAGTTTTAAAATCCCAAGTGACTATGAATTTAGCAAATTATGTGAGGTAGTCTGGCTGGTTAAATGTCTATTTCGTGTGCCCATGGTGCGGGTTCGATCCTTGCCAAGTATTTTTTCCCACTAACACACGGCCGCATCTCACGGGAGTGAGATACTCCTACCCAGGCCGTGAAGTTTCCTGGAGACCAGGGGATCTTTTTTTATTTTTATTTTCACGGTATCTCTCACGGTCGTGAAACAATCATCACCTAGGCGTGAGAATGCAAGGGTTTGATTTTACACCCTTTGCTATATGATAATCTCACGGCCTCATATCACGGCCGTCAGAAACTCCTATCCAGGCCGTGAGAATTCAATGAGTATGGGGGAAATATTTCTTGTTTCACGGTTGCTCTCACGACCATGAGGTTCCCAACCATGAAATTTACAGTATCTTACCGTGAAAATGACAAGGTCAGTTTTACACCTTTTTTAGGTATATGATCATTCATAACTTCTTCACTGTCGACACATGAAACAAATTATAGAGAAACGAAAACATCACCGAATAATTCTTCATTCATAACTTCATTGTAATTTCTACATTTTTCTAAACTTCATTCAACTTCTACATTGACTAACACAAAAGCAGAACTGGATTCATTCAACATCTACTTTCTCCTAAACTTCATTCATCATCTAAATTCACTAACATCTACATTAACTTATTTATTGTCGACACAATAAACAAAATAAGCACAACTCTCAATACTTCTTAGACTTTGTACCCTTTTTCTCCCCATGCCCGTGCAATGGCTTTCGTCCTCGATTTAGTAAGTTCTTCTTAAATTTCACCTTCTTAGTCGCAATTCAGGCACATTCCGCGTGATTCTCAAAATATTGATATGCTCTTGTTTGAACCTTATCTTTCACCTCATTCAAAGGTAAAGTGAGCAAGTACATAGTAAGTTGTGCCCGTTCATAGTCACTATCGAACGAGTATTGCTTGTTGGAAAATCCATATGGATCCAGCAAGTACTTGACGACAAATTTTCGACAATCAAATTTGTAATATAGCAAATAATTATCATGGTGATGATGTGAACAAATAATTATCTGATTGAATTAAAATATTGCACAAGTGAACAAAAAAAAACGTATCCATTTGGTTGAGAAGCAATATCTTTGCGATATTTAACCACAAAGTTGCCAAACGAAAATGTCCCTCTGATCTCCTCCTTAAGCAACAAGTCTTGACCCAGTTTCTGCAATTGAAAACGTCCCGCTCATCTCCTCCTCACACAATATTTAACCATAAAGTCGGCAAATAAAAAACAACTAACAACTAAGCCATAAGTCTACTTTGAAAAAACTTGAAGAACAAGATAAGAAGAAAACCAAATTCTGCATCCTTGCATAATATTCTTTGTTTTAAGTTCTTGGTATTGAGTCCCAGATTTCAATTACTTTGGTTTCCATGATAAAGACCGCCAAATAGAAGTGGGTCCCCGCTAGGTTGAAAATTGGGACATAAATCTGAAATAATGCACAAACAACGAATAATTATCGAATTATCATTAGAGGGTTAATCCATTTCCTTTTACAAAACAACATTACAACATACCTTATCATAGCAAAGTAGCTCATTTATACGATATCGCTCAAGTATCTTATATTTACCCATGATACCCATAAATTGCTAATCGTTACAATAAAACACATGATCCTAGAAAGGAAAAACACTTAACCACACCATCTATATGTAACAAACGAATAGATTATTTCCTTGCCAAGATAATAGTCCAGCACACGACTGTCCCGAAATTGAAGTTGGAGAGAACCAAGACAAGCCACCACTGTGACCACACTTTCGTTCTTCTAGTGTCTTGCACAGACACACCATTTCGATATTCTAATGCTTCATCGTCACATATACCAAAGTAATCATTACTGGTTCAATCTACTCAATAATACACACATAAAAGAACTCACCGTTGTTGTAAATTTGTTATGGAGCAAAAGCTGGACCAAATCCTTACGAACCAAGGGAAGAGCCCCGCCATCAAGATTAACCAACACATCACTGTTATACAAGAACAAGTTCAAACACTACGACATTAGAATAAGGCAAATAAGGAAGACATCCTACAAATATGATCCAATCTTACTTATAATGATTTCAAGAGGTACCTTTCAGGAAGCTCGCTACTAAATGCAAAGAATAATCTTTAGTGCCTCTTGAGTCAGTGGTGTCCTAACAGTAAAGGGAGGAGCAAGGTACAAAAATGGGGGTTTCTTGCTTTGGGATTTACCCGTTTGAATGGGGAGACTACATACAAGCTAGGCTTCAATTTAGAAACACTACGTAGTACACCTCGATTTTGCCCCTTTATTGTTAAAAAACACAAAAACAAAACCAGTCCATTAGTAACATACCATAAGAAATAAAAAAATATTAGAAAATTAAATCAAGTGTAATACCTTCCAAGTCTTGGCACAACCATCAGTAGCAGCTACTCTTTCATCACATAAAAGTATGAATTTCTCGATTTTAGACGCTTTCACCTACTTGCGAGCAGCCTTTTCCACAACTTTGACATAAGGAGATTCATAACAACTGTCATCTGAAATGCCATCTCCAATTTTTGCCTCAGCCTCAGAGGTAGGCGAAATGGGCTCACTTGGTTTTTCAACATCATCCTTCTAATTGTCCTCTTCCCTTCTGGCAGGCTGCTCCGTTGACAAGTCAACTGTAGATGCTTTCACCTTTACAGCCTCATCCTTCTTATCTTCCTTTTTCACTTCAGCAGGCTGCTCCCTTGACAACGCGTCAACTCTAGTTGTTTTCACTATTTCCATGATCGACTTGACTGCAACACCAATATCGTCTCTAAATGCTCGAAATTCATTCTCCATATTCATAACTCGACTCATTATTTGTTCATCTCAAGAAGCAGCATCACCCACTGCAACTTTAAATTCTTGATTGAAGTCTTCAATTCTAGTCTCCATCGTACTAAACAAGCATCAATATGCTCACAAAGAAGCAGCTCATCCTCGTCGTTTTTGTGTCGTTTCCCGTCGTTTCCTTGAGGTGATTTCAAACCGGCATCCTTGGATGATCTTTTTCCCGAACTGCTTCAAACCTATAAATTAATTTAAAAGGGAATCAAATATACAATTAGCATGCTCCAACTTGTCAAAGAATGAAATATACCATTTTGCACTCTCAGCTAATAACGCTTACCATTTTCATTAACAATAAGTTTATGTCTTTGTTCTCCCAACTCATCAAAGGTAAACTTTTATAAATGGTGTGGAAAATACCATTTGCATGCTCCAAGAATTTTAATACAAAACAAAAAGATATATTCAACATGATGACTAATCATTACGAATATGTAAAAAGTACGACTAAGTAAGTATTTACCTCCAAAAATAGCAAGCAACCAGGTATATACTTTCTCCTCGAAGCATTATGGTTGCAGATATATTTCACCAATTCATTGAATTGATAGGATGCCCAATTCTTCTTCGGAATGTCCGTCACAACGGAGATAGCTTATGCCAAAGATAAAGAAATATAATCTCTTCTGGTAGGTACTAATAGCACCCCCATTACGTACAATATAAAAGTTTGAATAGCACCCCCATTGTGCTCTCCTCCAGATTAATGCACCTTAAGAGTTCTTCCAACAACTCATGTTGTAACATTCTGCTCTTGACATCAAGCGTCCAACCAACGCCACAACTCTTAATGGTCGCTACTTGACATTCCTGTAACCTTGAGACTAGGGAGAATACTTTCCTTGGAGAACATTGTGTGCTAAAAAGGTGATGGCTCTTCGTCTTCATTGTAAAACAATTTCAACAAACTGCAAAATTAAAATAAAAAAAATTATAAGCATGCCTTAAAAACCAATGTTGTCAGAACCAAACCGGTATAGTAAGTGGTTCGCACTTTATTGGTTTAACCGGTACTAAAACTTTATAAACCCGTTAACGAACCAGTGTCTAATAAATAAAATAAAAAAGGTTATTATAAGTAGAAACCATTAATAGTACTATAATTATATATTGATTCTAACGAACAAAGGATTGGTCTAGTGGTAATACTACTAGCCTTGAACCTGGAGGTCCCAGGTTCGAATCCCTTCAGTAGTACCTAATTTCAAAAAATAACCTATATCACCCTTATCTAAAAAAATTATATATTGATTCTAATATTTTCCTAATATAAAATTATATATGAAAAGTAAAGATTATCATTTTACATAAATATAAATTATTTAAGTGTATAAGTTGTGATTTTTCAAAATTAAACATTGTGTAATGATTGATATAACAATTTGTTAGCTTTTGTGGAAAAAAAAACGGACTATACCTATTGGTAGAAGGTTCAAGTCATCACTACGAGGTGATTGGTTCAAATCTAAGCTCTCTCACATTTGTTTAAATTTTTGAATTTGGTCAAATAGGATTCCGAGTTTCCTATCGGCAAAATCTGTTGAGCGGTTCGAACGACTAGCCCGGTTCAACTGGCTGATTTGCGTACAAATCGAAAGATTGGAGCGTGACAGTTAAATAGCCTGACCAAACTGAATTAGAGAGCGGGTGGCGGTTCTATCGGTTGGTCCGGTCTGGCTTTAACAACAATTCTTAAAACATGGATTATAAGCATGCCCAGCAATACCAACAAGATACACAAAGCCAAAGTCGTCCTCCATAGATCTAAAGAAACAACTTTCACCGAGCTAAATTCTTACATCAATCAGGCCATATAAGGAAAACATGACGATAACAACAACAACAACAACAACAACAGATGTAGTGGCGTAAAACTTTGGACTACTAATAGCTTTTGGGAACAAAAATCAGCCAGCTAGTTTACGGTTAAAACTGAAGAAAGATAAAACGCAGGATATAGAAATGTCAAATTTCATGAAACTGAAATAGAATACGAGAGGGAGTATTAATATAATGAATGTTATTAGCAGAGCAAGTACGCTAATGAATTAACGAGTAAGGGGCTTCCTCGTGAGTCTCAATAGGAGATAAGCAGCATAAGAATGATGCCAATTTCCCATATATTATTTAGTAGGCAATGCATTTGAGATCTCCAGTCTTTGACTATGGTGCACAAGAGAAGTTTAGACACTAAAGCAAAACAACTTGACCATATATTGGCATTGAATTGACTGGCTGAACATAGAAGGTTTCAGGGTCACCGAAATGACAACTCAAATTGAAGCCCAATATGCGAACTTTAGTTAAAGCAGAGAACCATTGTAAAATTTTTAGTCTCCATAGCATATGGGGAAAGAATTCAACTCAATGATAGCTTGTACCATGTTCATTTTAACTTTCTTGAAGTCAAGGCCCATAGAACTACTACACCACTCCCACTTGGTATTCAACAGTGATAAACAAAAACAAAAACTATTCACAATAACTTGCAAGACGGCTGAGAATTTCAACCATTATTTTCATAGGCATGGACTTGTTTAACCACACCAATAATGCACGATTTTAATTGAATCAAAAAGTATGCTCGAGAATCCTGGAACCAACAAAGTCCACATAAACTGAAGGCTGATGCAAACAGTTGGTATGTGACACGAGAAGAAAGAACAGAGGCACAGATAAACGATCATGAACAACAATTCATGGCTGAAGTTAAAAGGACGAGAATTCAGTAACTTGCTAGGAATGGAAGATTGAGATTGCAGCTCTATCACGAGAGAAAATGAATTCTGATTGAGTTTCTGATCCTTATGCCGGCGCCAACTCGGTCTTCGTTTTCAAATTCCAATCCCCTGCTCAGCCCCAATTTACAGCGTTCTTGTCACCCTATTTCAAGATCCAGTTCATTGTCGTTGTCGCTACCTTCACTATCGACGAGGAAACGCTACTAGGCATAATCGTGGGAGAGGAGACATCGCGTATCACTATTGATGTCTTGACAAGGACATGCGAAAACCCTATGTCTCCTTTTCTCAGCGTCGGCGTAGCCGTATTTTAGAGTCTGGTTCACTGTTGCCCTGCTCACCCCCTTCTCTATCGAATGGAGATGTCGCGAAATACAATCCACGAACAGATGCAAAACCATATTTCTTCCTTTACCCAGCATCGCACTCGTCTTCGAACTGTTTCAGAATCAGTGTCACCCTCTGATCGTCGCACTCGCTTGCCGTCACCCCTGCTAGTCGCCCCCAAATAGCCACCTTCACTATCGTCGAAGAGAATTTTTTTTATAGAAGTCGTCGAAGAAAATTGGAACGGAGGAGCCGATTTGATTTTTTAATTATTATCAAACTTGTCAACCGGTGCAACAGGTAACCAATACTAAATTAAAATAAAATAAAATAATTGAATAAGATTCAATGGCTCACATTATTTAACAAGATCCAATTACTATAAACATATTAAGCATCAATGTTATATAGCATACTAAAATGCCTCATAGGACAAATGCCCCGATACGACATCTTTTTGCTCCAACTTCCTTAACATGGATAGATATTAGTAATTGGTTTTTTTCTTCTAAACAGAGCCTTAGGCAACAAAGAAAGGAGAGGTTAGAGTATACTGGGTTGTAAAGGAGGGTACTAGGGACAAGTCCTCATATTGTTGGAACTATGATAGTTTTACTTTTAGCCAAAGCCTTTGTCTTCATCTCTTATTTTATAGCTGCTCATACTGATTTAACAATGTCACTACTCGTGGATGATGAACCTTTGTCCAAAACAAAATCACCCGTCTTAAAATAAACAAATCTTATAACACAAAACTTGGAATGTCTCTTTCTTTTTCTTTATGATCAATCCTTATCAACCAAGGATTTCTCCGGCTGCTTCATTCTTTCAGTCTGATAGCCCCCTTCGAGTTCGAACATGAATGAATTCTCTTAAACGACAACGATCCAGTCCCTTTGTAAACAAATATGTTAATTAATCCACAGTGCTCACATGTTGCGGTTTAAGGAGCCCAACTTTAGTCCTCTCCCTTGTAACACGGATGTCAATTTCTTCATACTTGATTCTTTCATAGAAAATAGAGTTTTCGGAAGATTCAAAATAATTGAAATGGGTAGAGGTACTTATATTATTACTCTGCTAGCAGTCTTCTCAACCATTGGACTGCACAGACAAAATGTGTTAGAGCCCTATACTCTACTTCAAAGGATGTTCTGGATATAGTAGTTTGTTTCTTTTTCTTCCATATGAGCATAGATGTACTCAAGAAAGTACAATAGCTAGACACATATATTTTTGTATCATAGAAGCTTGCCTAGTTAGAGTCATTATAGTTGATAAACTTTAAGTCAACTTTTCTACTACAATGGACATTTTGACCCAAAGAATTCTTTAAGGGGTCGTTTGGATGGAACATTTGTAAAACGAGACAATTTGGGACAAATGTTTCATTCTAGAAAATGAGACAATTCTGTGAGAAATTTGTTCACAATTGTCTTGTTTGGATAATTATTTGGCATGAGACAATTTGAATGAGGAATTTCGTAAAAATACAATTTTGACCTCGCATTTTTACCCTCTTTGTCCATCTCGTCTCTTGCTCTCTTTGTCTCCAGCGGCGACATAGCAGAGGAATTCTGAAGAAGTTAAGAGTGGTTTGTCTCTGGAGAGAGAGGGTCAGAATTGGAAGGAGGAGACAAAAATTGTGTCAATTGAAATTACCTCCCCCATCCCAGTTATTTTCAATTGAACCCTAACAGTGCAATTGTCATTTCCCCGACCCAGATTGTCTCATTTCAATGTTTTGTAGCCAAATGGGTCAATTTGGCCCAATTGTCTCAAAATGAGTCAATTGGGTACAATTGATCCATCAGAATGTTCCATCCAAACGACCCTAAGTACCTAAGAACCTTATAAGTAGGGGTGGGAAACGGTGCGGTCCGGTCCAGACCAGACCATAGATACGGTCTGTGGTCCAGACCGAGATGTTGGAATACAGACCATGGACCAGACCATATACTATACGGTCCAGACCAGACCACACCTGTGTGGTGCGGTCCGGTATGGTCTGGACCAGACAGACCATGTTTAAAAAAAATTAACTCTTGTTCGCCCTCCAACCCTTCGTCGTTATCTATAAAAATAAAAATTATAGTGACCAATATGCTATTGAAAAAAATGTGATCGTAATTAAATGAGAAGAAATATGAGGATAGAAGTGGGTTTTTTCAATTTTCAAACACACACACACATCAAATAGCCTTGTTTCCCTATTCCTCTTTGTGCTACCGCTTCTCTCCTCTCTCGAGTGATCTAAAGGTTCTCCCGGTTGATAACCTTTGTGATGACGTCGCGGTATATTGAACCATTAAGATGGTCACATATCTCTCAATAATTTTTCTTATCTCATCAAGGTGAACGAATTTTTTTCTATCGTTTAATTTTTATCGATTCCATAGTCTAGACATTGTCTGTGAATATTATTTATGAGTCTTTCTGGTTTTTGTGTGGTTTTTTTATAAGGAGATAACAATTAAACAATCATTTGGCAATTTGTTCGCTCTCAACTAGATGAAGAATCAACTAACTTTGTTATTCAAATACACAAATGGAGGTTCAATTTAGTGTTATTTTTATCCGAGTTAGTAGGTAATGTGTCGCGGTATGTTATGGTTTACTACGGTAGACCGCGGTCCAGACCACTTCAGACCATGCACTAAAGGAGGAGACCGCAAACCAGACCAGACCATAGTTCTGGTCTCGCGGTCCATACCAAACCATACGATACGGTCTAGACAACGGTTTTCCATACGGTTTGGTCTAGATTCCCAACCCTACTTATAAGCAACCTATAAACTCATTGAAATAGTTTCTTTGATACTGGCATAACCTTTGAACATGAAATGATATATATGGTTTATTGGTGGTGAGATAGTGCAGTCTTCAAAACAACCTTCTACAACATTCTCCATCTTCCAAAAGGTCCCTTGGCAACAAGCTTGACCTTGGTATATGATAGACCATTGAGTACACATGTTTTTACCCATATTCTTGAGTCGTTTGAGATGTTGATTCTCGTGTTTTAAGCCGACTTCATGCTAGGCTGTGCGTTTATGTCATATTTCAGGACGTAGCATTGGCATCGAGGCGAAGAAACGAGTTTCGGGTCGAAAGGAGCATGTTTGGGTCGAAGTGTGGTGGAGGAGAAAAATACCCGGCCATGAGCAAAAATACCCGGCTGGGTATTATTTGGAGCTGACCTCCTTCACGGGTTTGCTGCTTGACTGTGTGCAGGTAGTGCATGACCCGTAGCCAGTCAGGAGGTTTACTGCCGTTGGATTCGGAGCTTGAACCCACCTGTTGCCAAATTAGGAGACAACAACGAGCTAGACTGGCTACGGAGGAGCGCATAGACGGCCACTTGAGCAGCGATTCCGAGGAAGAGTACGAGATGGAAGGAGACCATAACCCGCCCCAGGGGATACCTCTCCAGGTTCCCCCGATGAATCAGATCTTGGGGAACAACCCCATACCCCAGGTAGATGGGGTTCAGCATCAACCACAACCGCCGCCGGGTCCCACCTTGGAGTACTACTACACTCCACGGGTTGCTGTTATCCGCCCTGTCATCCTCTACCTGCCCATTCCAGCGAACAACTTCGAGATCAAGCCATGCTGGATTCAGCTCATTACATCCTCTATCCAGTTTCATGGCTTGAAGGATGAGAAGGCAAGGGTGCATCTTTCCTGTTTCCTGGAGCTGACGCACGGGTTCAAGATGAACGGTGTCCCTGATGATACAATCCGCCTTCACCTCTTCCCCCATTCTCTAGCGAGGCATGCAAAGAGGTGGCTAGAGACCCAGCCCCCATTGTCAATTACTTCTTGGGATGATCTGGCCAACAAGTTCGTACACAGGTACTATCCGACATCGAAGACCACAGAGATCCAGCGGGAGATCACTCACTTTCGCCAAGAGCCAGATGAGTCACTTCGTGATGCATGGGAGCGGTACTCGGGATTTTTCTGGCAGTGCCCCCATCATGGGTTCAGCAATGCATTCACCGTGGGGAACTTCTACAGTGCTCTCTCTCCGGAAAGCCAGAGAGTGATTGAGTCTCTATGCCGAGGAGGGGATATTCTTACTAAGACTCCACCCGAACTGAACCAGATGATCAGTACCTTGGCTGCCAGAGATCATTCCTGGGGGTAGAGCACCAGAGGCAGGAATTCCTGGGATCGTGGTGTGCACGCCATGGAGGCCAGGTCTGGGCTAGAGCGGGAGGTGGTCGAGTTAGTGTAGACATTGAAGCAGCCCAACAGTCTTATTTCGGGCAGAGGATTGGTTGTACCTCCAGTAGCTCAATGCCAGGCTATGCGGGAGTCTTCTACTCCCCAAGAGCAGTTGGACTTCATCGCCAATGCTCGGCGCCTTGACCCGTACAGCAATACATACAATGAGGGGTGGCGCCATCACCCCAACTTCGCTTGGAATAGCAACATCATTAACCACCTGGTTTCCCAGCACCAGCAGGTGGTTTTCAGCAGAGGCGGCCTTTCCAGGCTAGACAGGGGCCAGTTCCTCAGCAGCAGCCTTACCAGCCTAGGCAGGGGCAACCATTTCAGCAGCCTTTGCGTCAGTATGCCGAGCCAGCAGCAGCTCCGGCTCCAGATAATCAGATGACGGATCTGAAAAATATTTTAGGGGCATTCATGACCACCAGCCAGGCGAATTTTACCAGGATAGACCAAAGCATCGCCTCGCTGGAGGCAGGTCAGAGGAACCAAGGTGCTGTACTGCAGAACCTCCAGCATCAGCTTGGAGGAATAGCTCGTCAGAACAATACCCGGTCCCCGGGAACTCTACCTGCCACTACCATCCCCAATCCACGGGAGCCGCACCAGCAGATGAATGCCATCACCACCAGAAGTGGCAAGTCCACATCGGCGGTACCTGCCCAGGCTAGGGAGGAAGAGCCACTGCCTGTTTCAACACTTCCAGCCGACGATGCAGAAGTGAGGGTGGAGAAGGAAGCCCCTGCTCCCAAGCCACAGCCAGGGGTTAAGGAGCATGTACCCCAGCTTACTTACCCCACTCGCCTACATAAAGACAAGCTGGAGACTGAGTTTGCCAAGTTCATGGCAATGTTGAAGCAGGTCAACATTACCATGCCGTTCGTGGAGGCACTGTCGAAGATGCCCAAGTATGCCAAGTTCATGAAAGACCTCCTCACCAACAAGAAGAAACTTG